ATATATATAATTTTTAAAAAACCAAGATGGATTGACACAGTAACTGCAATGATGAGCTTGGCATCTGCAAAGACCTTGAGATGGCACAGGATACGGTGGTTTTTTAATCTGTTGTCCAGGAGTCTCTAAGTCAGAGTTGACTCAACAGCACCTAACGACAACAATAACAACAACCCAAGACTAGGGCTAAAGACATCATATTAAAGCAATCCATTACATCACAAAAATATAGTATTGGAAGAGATGGGTACTATAGAAAAATTTAGGTTCATATAATCTAGATAAAAGGTAATCAAATGCTTTGTTCCAGGCAAGAAAATAGTCCTAAAAAAAAAAAAAAAAGAAAATAGTCCTTATGTTGCCAGTGCTTCAGATTCTTCCAAATAAAGTGGACCCCCCAGATTATAGGAAATGCACTGTTTTTCAATGTTAGCCAAAACCACAATTTCAAAAGAGAAACCAACAACTAGGAACATTTAGCACTTGATGCTAGGAAGCTCAGGGGTCAATTTAAGACCTATCCAAGGCAAGAAGAAGCCTTCAATATGAATTACAACCGCAACATCAAGAAAACAAAAATTCTCCTCACTGACACCAGCAGGCAACATCATGACAGATGGAGAGAAGACTGAAGTTGCCAATCATTTCATTTCACATGAATCTACAATTAACACCCGTGGTAACAGGAGTCAAGAAACAAAAAGGCAAAAGAAAAAAAAGAGAAATAAGAAGGCATGTATTGGAGAAATCTTCTGTCAACGACCCCTCCAAGATACTCAGAAGCAAGTATATCAACCTAAAGACTAAGGTGAGTCTGCCGTACGCCATCATATTTTCAGTTGCTTCCTATGCATCTGAAAGTTAGGCAATGAATAAGAAAGAGAAGAGAAATCTATGCCTTTGAATTGTGGTCTTGGAGAAGATGATTGAATGGGAGACTGACAAAGGAACAAACACATCTGTCCCAAAGGAAAGTGCCCCACCAGAGTGATCCTTAAGAGGCAAGGATGGTGAAATTTCATCTCACTTATTCTGGGCATATTTTCAGAAGGAAGTCCTTGAAGAGAGGTGTCATGCTGAGAAAGGTAGGGGGTCAGTGAATAAGAGAAAGACCCTCAATGAGTTGAATTGACACAGTGATTGTCACAAAGGGCTTGAAGATGACAGAGTTAGTGAGGACGGTATAGGATGGGGCAAGGACTGTTATTTATAGTCTCACCACTGGGCTGATTGACAGCGTCATGATAGATGGTGAAGAGATTGAGCTTGTTGACAGCTTCAGTTTGCTTGGCTCTACAATCAACACTCTTGGCATCAGCAGCCAGATAATGAAAACACAAACTGCATTGGGAAAGTCTGTTGTCAGCGACCTCTCCAAAGTACTGAAGAGCAACGATGTCAGTCTGGAGACTAAGGGGTGCCTGACACAGGCCATGGTCTTTGCAACTACTTGCTATACATCAGAGAGCTGGACAATGACTAGGGATGATAGGAGAAGAGTGGATGCCTTTGAGCTGGGGTGCTGGAGAAGAATATCGAATATTACCATGGACTGCTAGGAGAACAAAAAGTTCATCCTGGAGAGGGTGAAGCTAGGCTGCTCCCTGGAGGCAAGGATTCTGAAGCTTCATATGACACACTTTGGACATGTTGCAAGGAGGGATCAGTTCTTGGAGAGGGACGTCATGCTTGGGAGGTTGGAGGGACAGTGCAGGAGGGGAAGATTCTTGATGAGATGAATTGATTCAGTCACTGGAGTAATGAGGATAGGTGTGTTGGAGACAGTGAAATTGGCTCAAGACAGAGCAGGGTTTATTTAGGGCTGTTGTACATAGGGTCGCTATGAGTCGCAGGCAACACGACGGCACTTAACAATAACAATGTGTCATAGTTGAGAAAAGACCAGCTGGGCAGGCGCAAGCAGCATAGACGCCAGCACTCTGCTTGCACCCCAGCAAGCTCCTGGACTCACAGCTCCATCTTATATTTCTGTGATCCAGCTTCCTCACCGCCCTACAAACATATCACAAAACCCACTTGTCCATTGATGACAGCGCCACATGCACCACAGCAGAACTGTGCTCCTGAAGGCTTAGGTGCCTGTCAGTGGACTCAAACCCCAGCCTTCCATGAACCTACATGCACAACCCAAGGACTAGAGGCACACATTAGCTGGTGAATGAATAATTTAATTTCATTTAAGCTGGTGAAAAAACAATTTTCCAACATTTTACAGGTGGGGTTGAAGAAAAGAGCTGAACTTCTAATGGACAGTCAAAAAAAAAAAACCCACACACCAAAACCACCAAACAAACCACAAACAAAAACAAAAACAACAACAACAACAAAAAATGCCAAACAAGCATATCTTGGAGTAAGTGCAACCAGGGTGTTCCTGAGAGGCAAGGATGTGAAAACTTGTCTCTCATACTTTGGTTATGTTTTAAGACAGGGCTAACCTTTGGAACTCTGGTGGCCTAGTGGTAAGAAACTGCACTACAATCCTGAAAGCATGAGGTTCAAATTCACCAGCTGCTGCTCTGCAGAAGGATGGGCAGTCTCCTCTCATGCAATGAACTGCCTCTGAAAACCCACTGGAGGGTCAGCTATGGGTCAGTTCCAACTCTGTGGTCCTCAACAACAACAACAGTCTTTAAGAGGGAGTTACTCCTCTTCAAATTACTGAGGAGTAATGATGCCAGTCTGAAGACTAAGGTGTATCCGATTCAGCTCTTAGTCTTTTCACTCACTTGCTATGCATCTGAGAGCTGGACAATGAATAAGAATGACAGAAGAATTGACACCTTTGAACTGTGGTGTTGGAGAAGAGTACTGAAAAATCCCACGGACTGCCTAAAGAATAAACAAATATGTCTGGGAGAGGGTGCAACCAGAGTAGTACTCTTCCGAGGCAAGAATGATGAGGCTTTGCCTCATATATTTCGGGCATATTGATAGGAGGTCCTATTCCTTGAAGAAGGACATGATGCTGGGAAGGGTGGAGGGTCAACAAAGAAGAAGACATTCCACCAGGTGGAATGACACTGTGACTGCCGTGATCGGCTCCTGTGTGTCAGGAAGTGTGAGGATGGCACAGGATAAAAACAGGGTTCCAATCTGCTGTTCATAGGGTCGCTCTGACACCTAAGAACAATTAACAAATCTTGTGAAACGACATCATGCTAAGAAGGGTCAGAGAAAGAGAGGAGAAAGCCTCCCCAACAAGGCAGATTGACACAATGACTGTAAAGATGGCCCCGGACACATCAGAGAGAATGTGGATGGCACAGGATAGGTTAAGGGTCAGGTCTGAGTTCACAGGGTCGCTATGTCTCATAGGTGACTCGGTGGCGCCTCACAACTGTAACCTTTTTGTAATCCACCCTCTATTCTTTTTGCTTAACAAACTCACTGCTTTCTCATCAGTGCCCGCTCAGAGTCAAGTGACTCGTCTGATTTAAGAGGCTGACAATCTTTGGGAAAGGGAGACTGCCTAGCCATCTCTGCCAAGGGTGGCTTGGAACTGCCAACATCTCAGTTACCAGCCAGTTACACTAGGCGCGTCGCCACCGGCGCTCTTTCTGTGTTAACAGAAGCAGAGCTGAAATGAACCGAGTAAGATCCTTTCTGCCATCATTCCAAGCGTGCGAGAAGTCTTTAAAAAGAACGGCCAAAGAGAAAGTTAACTCAAAAAGCGAGCGAGCAAAGACAGCCAAGGATGAAAGAAAGCTCAGCTCTTGGTAAGCTCGCCTTGAGGGTGGGTCAGCTGGCCCCCGGGAGGCGGATGGAAATTCACAAGCTACAGGTGCAAGGCTAGTGCAACCTAGGTCAGAGAGGTAAAAAAAGAAAGAGGGGTCCGCGAGTTTGAACACCAACACAGCCAGTAAAACTCGATCGTGAATTTATACCCAATCTCTGGATAAACACCCCCACCCTCCAGAACTAAAAACACTCGTATCTCTTTCCGTCAGCACCCCAGCCGTAGCCCTGCAGGCTGTCCGACCTCAGGCGGCGGGGTTATCGCTACCATCAAGTGCCCAGGGACAATTCCTTCCTGTAGGTGGGGGCGGGTTGAACAGGAAATCCCAGACCCTCTTGGGGCTCAACCACAGCGCAATGAGGCAGAGTCGGAGGGAATGGGGTCTCCCAGGTTCCCTTCTCCACCGTCGGTCGCCTGGGACATCTTAACTTTCCCCAACAGATCTGGACCCCTTACCTGCAGCCCCCCAGAGGGCCAGGAGCGCCCCGAGGCACAGGAGGATCCTAGGCGCTGTTGTCCCGCTGCCTGCGGCCATCTCACCCCAAATCTGGGCAGGGGCCCCTCGGGAAGCACTGGTTCCGGCGGGGCTCGCTGCGTGCGCGCAAGGCTTCTCCAGGCTCCTCGTAAAGGCAGAGTTGCCCCACTTCCCGCAGTTCCCGGGAGGGATGCTTGGAGTGCACCCGACGTCCGGATTTGGGGGGCTTCTGGTGTCAGCTGCGCTCCGGAGCGCCCCAGCTGGGGCTGGGAGGGCGCACCCGCCCCAGTGGCCCGCTGGCCCCGGCTCCCGCTGGCGGAAAACAACAGGAACGGGACTGCCTCCCGCCTCCCATCCAGGCGGGAGCTCAACTTCCTCCACCCCGGCTGGAGAGGAGGGCTTTATGCAAAGGACGGGCGCCCGGCGCGCACAGCACAGCCTGTCCGGGGAGGAGCGCGCCGCTGGTCCCTCCCCGAGCCCAGGACGCCGCTCCCCACTCCGCCTGGGCCACCAGTGTGGACTGGCGGGGGACAGCAGACGGGGCCCTTGCAGCTGCCGCAGGACGGAACCCGCCGGGGCCGGGGGAGGAGCGTCCGGAGCCCCAGGGGCTGGCTGCCAAGATGCAGAACCCGGCGCCCCCCTCGCAGTCCCAGCTCAGCTGTTCCAGGAATTCTCATTTGTGTTCCCGGGCGCAGAGCGCAGCGCGCGGGGCCGCCATCGCTGCCTCTTCTAACCTTTGCAGGACAAGAGCGGGAGAGAAAGATGATCCCTTGGACCTGCCAGCCAAACGCGGCCACAGGGCTCCTGTTCTCTGCTTAACTGGCCAGGACCTCGCGGGGACGGCCACCACCGAGAGGTCAGGGGACTTGTCACTCAGGACGTTTTCTGCTTGCTCCTTTTTTTATCCTCCCGCCTCCACCTAGATTCCCAGAGAATGACGACCCAGCCTTGGAATCCCTCTTATTTCCTGCCATGCCCCATCCCTTTCCCTGGTACGGCACACACTCGCATACCCCTAGCAAGGATTGTGGTGTGCCAGGAGTTGAAACTGACTCTTAGGTGACCGTTCAGCGGGTTTTCAGCGGCCATAAATCACTCTGGAGGAGATTACCCACTTTACTCTGTAGGAGCGGCTAGTGGATTCGAACCCTCTGCCTTTGTCTTGGCAGCCCAGGTCCTTACCCACTATGCCACCAGAACAGATACTCAAAACTTTTTCTAATGTTTTCTAAAGCAGAGAAAACTCCCCTTTGAAAACTTTAGGCGGTGTAGAGGTATTCGCCATAATACGCTTTCATCTTTTCTGTGAAAAATTTTGCATCCTAAAATGTTATGGGGAAAGTAAACATTAGAATTAAGGAAAATGATTCAAGTATTTCTCACCCAGACTATGACTCAAACCCCCAACCCCCCTCCAGTGCTATCTAGTCCCTTCCCCCTGAAAGCAAGTCTGTTCCAAGGCTAAACTTCTCAATGGGAGGTGGGAAGGAGGCGGGGTGGGAGGCCTGTTGGGGGGAAATCACAGAAATTTGGTGGGAGGGGGGCAAAGGAAATGGGAAAGATCTTCCCAGGACCTGACAAGAAGGAGTAGTGGTGGGCATAAACCATGGGGATTAATTTTATAAAACAAAATGTATGAGCAACAGCAGTTTAACTAGATTTCTGAGTGTGTTCTGCTGACGTTCCACAATTTTCCTCTTGTTCAGAGGTGGCTCTGTAAATCTGCCTTTGCCTCTGCTTGAGAAGGAGGGACAATCTCCTCCTGTACCAGTCAGATCAGATTTTACGGTACACACACACACACACACACACACACACACACACAATCTGCCTTTGCAATTGTGATTCATAATTTTAGGAATAAAAATGGTAAATGTTAAAAAAAACCAAACAACCCACAATATATGGGAATGATTATATGAAACATAATGGGAAGGAAGGAAACTGTGAAACACAGTATATACAAATTTTGTATGCAAATCAATATAAAATGGGGGGGGATTAAATTTTAATGGGAGCAAACCCCCTGCTCTATCTCTGGTGCCTTTCCATTACCCACCCAATACTTACTTAAACCACCGTGCCGCCAGGGCTCCTTTTTTTTTTTTTTTTTTACATGCGCGCGCACACAGTGTGCCTCCAGGTGTATGGACTGAGCCGGCAGAGCCACTTTGTTCTCTTAGCCCCTTTTTCTGGTTCTGTGTGCACAACATGCTCTATCTCCAACCAGTTTCTGGTGGAGCTTCCTCTCTCTCTCTAGTTGTACTTTTCATCTTCCACCTTGTGAGTAATCCTGGATTGAACTGGGGGGGCTCCTTTGGTGAGGGTCCCCCAACCCCAAAACATGCAGCTAGTAACAGAATGGGAAGACTGTGTCATACTCCCTTCACAATCTGGTAAACAAGTGGTTGTAAACAGATGAAGAGTGGAACGCAGTCCTCTAATCCCGCCCCAGTTTCCCTGGAGTGCGGGCTGTGTGATGTATTACATTTCCTCTCACAAGCGATGAAAGGGGAGAACAGGAGTAGAGCTAAGAAAGAAAACCAGGTATGGGACATATCCTTTGATCCTTGGTCTCTGGGCTGGGAGGCTCCTCACTAAGGAGGAGGGCCAATGCGTGGAGCCCTCCCAGGGACACAGCCTAGCGAAGACTAAAGCATCTTCCTCCAAAACTGACAGAGAGAAAAAGCCTTCCCCAGAACTGGCCTCTGAGAGCTTCACAATGACTAGGGATGACAGGAGACGAAATGATGTTTGAGCTGTGGTGTTGGAGAAGAGTACTAAATATCCCATAGACTGCCCAGAGAACTATGATGTCTTGGAGAAAGTCCAGCCAGAGTGCTCCTTGGAAGCAAAGATGACAAAGCTTTGTCTCACATACTTTAGGCATGTTGTTAGGTGAGCCTGTTCCTTAGAGAGGGACATCATGCTTGGACAGGTGGAGAGTCAGCAGAAGAGAGGAAGACCCTCGACCAGGTGGATTGACACAGTGACTGCTGCAATGGGCTCAAGGGGATGGGACAAGGTTCAGACCTTGTTCATAGGGTCGCTATGAGCTGTACTCAAGCTTACAGCACCTGACACCAACAGCAACAGGACCAGCACCTTGGATTTGGATTTCTAGTCTCCTAAACTCTAAGAGAATACATTTTGGTTCATTAAAGCCATTCACTTGTGGCATCTCTGTGACAGCAGCACAAGATAAGCCAGGCATGCTCAAAAGTGAATTCTATCACAGTCCCACATAGTCTTGTCTGTTCCATTCCCCCCTCTAACCCCAGTCCCAAGCTCGCTCTCAACACTTTCTTAAAAAAAAAATGCAATCAATACAGTAAACAATCCAGTGTAGGCTCACGGCCATGTATAGGTACTCGCTGTAATAGTCTTTCATTCTTATCCTCTCTCATGCTTGTTGCATATGAATGCAAGTTCTTGGTGTTGATACTGCAGTTCCTTGGCTTTGATGGTGAACCACCTTACATCCTTGACGGGCATAAACAGACGAGCATGAAGTTATTTTACCTTTAAATCCTATCAAGTAAAATCTAGACACTCGCAAGCTCTCAGCTGAGGAAGCAGACCTGGAATTTTCTGTGACACTCGTGGTGCCTTGTTGTTGGTAGCCATGGGGATACTCTGTGCACAACAAAACATTAACAAAACACTGTCCATTCCGGGACCTACTTCACCATCATTGGGACGTGCAAGCCCACTGTTGTGACCAGTGGATATTGTGAGTTTCTTCCAATTTAAGAGACTCATTTCCCAGCACTAGATCAGACAATAATAGTCTGCTCTGACCTATAGGGTTTTCATAGAATGATTTTCTAAATTAGACCACCTGGCCTGCTTCTGTTAGGATGCTCAGCTGGAGCCTGTCGATCCTGGGTGATATCTGAAAATCTGGTGGCAGTGTATCCAGTGCCACTGTCCCCCCAGTGAGACAGAGCGTTACACTGTGACCCTTTGTAAGTAGGTCGTGGTGACTAAGAGGGGCATTGCACATCGCAAGCTTTCCTGGCATTTGTGTTGAGCCAACGTATACTCCTCATCAGCTCTCCACCTCAGAAGTCTCTCCACATGCTTGCTGGATATGAATGAAAGTTCTCGGCATTGGCAAGCTCTCGGCCGAGGGTGCAGAGCTGGCATTTTCTAAAGCCTCATCCAGGATGCTTTACACCACGAATTCTGCACCTGGGCGTTTGTACGGCTGGGACCTTTTTCCAAAGCCATTTTTTGAAATTTAATCTCACTGGGCCCTGCCTGCAACCCTTGGACCCAAAAACCATCCCACCTCCTAAGAGAGCCAGCAGCGCTGAGAGGTTAAACTCCAGGTGACACAGTCGGTTGGTAGTAAAACCAGGACTGGAATTCATGTGTCTGATTCCAAGTGCCCTCCAATGAATATTCCTCTCCTGTCATGGAATACTCCACTCCTGTCGTGGAATATTCCATGAAGGTTGCCAGAGCCAAAGGGATGTGCGTTTGGCTGCTTTGGGAGTCATGGCCAGCAGACACACAGTCCCAAGCCTGAGCTTGGTGCATCCCATCACTCAGTGGAGGTGGGGCTAGCTCAGAAAATGCACACATGCTCTTTAACTCCAGTGTAGGTTCAAGACTGCTGAGAGCCAGGGGATGGTCCGCATCTGGTATTTTAGGTCACTATGGGCAGGAGAAAGTACTCTCTTTGGAACAGCAACCAGTCCGGGAGTGTTCATTGCATGGCCTCCAACAGGGCGTTCTGGAGTCTTAGTTTCTCTATCACAAAATAGAGCTACTTTCCACTTCATGGGATTCCTAGGATGATAAGGGGAGTTGAAGGTGTCACGCTGGGGACTGTCATTTGAAATGACACCACTCCAGGGCTAGGAATTCCCACAATCATACCATGAACCTGGGGCCCAGGCCCCTCCACCTGCTTGGCTCATAGTCCACTTTGATCTCCCCTGGACAGGAAACTTAACTCTGGCTCCTGCGTTTTACAAGCAGGAAGTCATCACTTCTCAACACAACCACAGCGGTGGGTGGTAGCATTCTCCCTGTACAGACCACTCAGAGAG